ATCTTACACTACCTCTATGGTCAGAAATAAAGCTCTCCCAGTCCCAAAGGCAGGAGGCATACCAAGGGCCCCTCTTGGAGACAAGGCTGGAAAAGTCACGCCCTCGCATTCTCTCCCAAGAGCCAGCCAGATGGAAGAGTGAGTCTACCAATGACAAAAGTTTGCTCACTTTGATTTAGTATCTAACCCGGATAGTGCTAATGAGCAATTACTACACTACCACAATATAACAATCCTGAGACAAGTCACTGTTCTTTTCCCCATTTTACAGCTGAGGAAACAGGCATAGTGAAGTTGTGTGATTTGCCCAGGTTTACACAGTCTACGAGCGGAGCCAGGATAGATTTAGAGCTCCAGAGCCTGAGCACTTAATGAGCTGGGTCTTCTGCCTCAGGTGGACTAGGTAGAAATCCCCTACCCCTCCACTCCTCACAGAAAAAGGCCTCTTCTATGTGCTGTTTACTCTGGGTTTCTTGTAGTGCTTTGCAGCAAAAAGTGAAGTAAAGAGTTGGAGGAATAGGCAGGGAAATGGCCTCCTTCTCTGCAGCAAGCTGTGTAGGAAATATCTGGGTTGACTTCTAGGGTTTTCAGAGAGAAAGTACATTCCTTCTATTGTACTTCAGTTCCCAAAGAAATCCTTGCTCTTAATCCAGATACCAGAGCAACCCCTTTGGTGAGCTATGCACAGGGTTGAGGCTCCACCTAGCGGCTTAAATTGAAAATAGTCCCAAAGGAACGTCCCTTGTGAAATAAGAGGCAAGGAGATAGAGATTTGCCAAAGGCAGGGAAAGGGAACTGAAAGCAAAACCTAGCCAAGCTCAAGGCCTTCCTTTTGCATTCCCTGTACCTTATAGCCATCCATCATTAACATATGTCTTTTATGTCAACTTATTCAAAGGTTATTAATTTACCCAGTGTATCAGACGCAAAACAAGAGCTAGAATCCAGACCTAAACCCCATGTCCCGGTACAACATGGTATTTCCTAAAATCCCCCCTCAGGACTTAGAATCATCCAGGATACCTTGCTCAGCACCTGGAGAAACTCAATATAGAACTTGGTAGTAAAGGAGGAATAGGGAAAGGAAGGAAAAATGGGAAAGAGAAAAGTCATTCTTCTCAAAGAACAGTTTCTGCGGAGCTTATACAAACAATTCAGAATAATCAGGGAAGGAATGAAATAGCTGCGGGCTTGTTCCCCTTTGCTTGCTGTTCCAGGAGCTGTCAGCGGGGGTGTCGCCCTTACGGGGCACATTCTAAGGAGCAGTTCAAGGGGACCAGACCGAGCAAGAGGAAGGTAGTTCACTCAAGACTGCCGTGTCACGCGCTTCTGTGGGAGAGAAGTCGGCAGGTCCAGGCAGGGGGTCCCAAGGCTCCTAGCAGCTCTAGTCTAGACCAAGTGCATGAGAGGAGAGTGTTATGGGCAAGGGTAGCTGACACATGTGGTCTAAGGGGAGAACATTAAATATAGCTTCTAGAACTCTCAACAATGGTCCTACTTGGTACCAGGCATAGAGGACCCCAACAAGTGATTGGTCAGATGGGTTTATGCCAGAGCCTGGCTCCAAGAAACCAGGCTGCTGATTGGGCTACTCCTACCTTACCTCTAGCAAACTGAGGATACAGGAAAATCCCAAAGGATAAGACAGGAAAAGTATGAACAGACAAGATGAGCCTCAGGAAGCAACCAAATCTAGTGTCAGCCAATGCCGTGTTGAATATTGACTAACCTCACAAACTTGGCCCCAAGTCAATTCATGATAGGGAGGCAGAGACCACCATGAGGAATATGGGCAGGTGTATTCTTGGGCTCTTAATCTGGTACTCCCTAGAAGAATGATCTGTGCTTTCTTCTGATGCAGTCAGGGACTTAAAAGCTGCTTTTGCTTTAAAATATTTTTTAATGACTCTCTATTTGAGTGTACAGATATCTAATTGGTAACTAAAAACAGACCAAAGCTTAACCTTCATCTTGTATCTATCTCCTTTATTACCTTAAAACTTTCAGTCAGATCTTTGTTCACCCTTGCATATAAGCAGATTCATCATTTAGAGAGTGTGTGTCTAAAAGCCAGCAATACAATGTTGACTAATAACTCTAAATTTACATTATTTATCTTATCCCCTTTCAACACTTAGGACATCCACATAAGAGATTTGCAGGGACATTCAATTACTACAGGCACCTAAAAGTCTCAAGTAATTGCCCTAAACCAGAACGGGAAACCTATGGCACACATGTCACAGCGGGCTGTGGCGAAAAGCTCTAAAGACTGTCCCTCACTATCCTAAATCCACAGGCATGCTGAATTCCAGCAGAGCCTCTCCAAACTGAGACTTTCCCAAGCAGAAACAATCATCTGATGAAGACCACATTATCCCTCTGTGGAACACTACCATGTTGCCCTCCCCCAGACCCAAACTTGCTTGTGCTTACTTTTGAGCAGTGCAGACTGTATGGAGGTGACTTCCCTCTATACTGAATTGGCTTTCAGTTTGGACAGTGAGTCTCACTGAGGCTGTGTATGTGTCTTCATGGAAGCAAGCGGATGACGTGTTGGGCTAGCATTGCTCCTCACCAATGGTCACAGTTGGGCCCAGAGAAGTGGGCTTTGGGACTGTGGGGCTGAGATATGAGATAATTTCTCTACTGAGCCCTGTGTGACTCTAGAGAAAATTATTTCCTAGAACTGATTGCAAAAACAGTTACTCACTGTCTTGGTTACTTTTCTCTTGTTGCTGAGACAAAATACCCAATGCCTAAAATTAAGGAAGGAAAGGTTTATTTAGCTTACAGTTTGTGGAGGTTTCAGTCCATACTTGGCTGGCTCCAAGACGGAAGATAGCAAAGCAACAAGAGCAAAGGGGGGAATGGCAGCTGAACAGCAAACAGCCAGAGCAAAAGGGAGGAATGGTGGCGAGCAGCTTCTTTCCCTGCCTTACACTGTAAACAGGCTACCCCCACCGAAGGGGCATGTAGCTCTCACATAATCTCTATGCCCTCCTCTTCCACAGGCTCAGGATGTATACAAAAGAAGCACCCTGGCTTCCTGGTGAGTCACTTAGCCAAACCTCTAGACTCCCCAAGTTGACACAATGTATCAACCATAACACTCACTAACCACAATCTAAGTCTGGTTGTCCTGTTCCTCATATAAGAATGCTTTCTTCCCGGTTTCACAAGCCATGCTTGCATATGCATCCCCCCTCCCCATGCATTCAGCCACAACCCTTTCACCTAAGTCCCTGGCATATGTGTAAACAATAAATACCAGGGGCTCTGGCTGCTTCTTGGCTTTTGTTCCTCACAAGCACTGGTCATTCCATATCCCTGTTCCTTTGTAACCTTGTGTCTTGCTTTTTCTTTTTTGCCATGCATGGTAACACCTAATAGGAGATTCAGGGTTCACTGAAGGAGTGCCTGTTACCCCTCAAGTCATAAGGACTTCTCTGGAGGCAAATTGTAAAACTAGAACTGGGGTAATGATCAGCCAGACCCTAGCCTACCTCAGCTACTCCATAAAAATTGACCTCATTACTTCATGAAAAGGCAAATCTGATCGTGTCCATCAGAGCTGTGCTCCTTCAGCTCCCCATGCTGAAGTCCCTTTCCTAATTTCTTTTCCTTCAGAACCCAGCCCAATAAATCAGGTTATGCTTCCCGGTGACACATCCTGAAATGTTTCTCTGCTACGATACACTGAGAACTTGTCCCAGCTGAGTTGAGGTCTCTATATCTTCTTTAGAGAAAATGCCATGGACTTCATCCAGTAAGAATATCATCATGCTGGGGGTAAAAGAACCCTCAAAACATATGTGTCTGTATATTGCTGTGGTGTGATTTAATTCTTTCAAGAAGATACCTACAAGGGGAATGACTGAGTCAAATGGAACCTCTAGTTTTAGTTTTTTGAGGAATTTTCATACTGATTTCCATAGTGATTATAGCAATTCACACTCCCATTCACAACAATGGGTTCCTTTTACCCAGAGCATTTGTTATCGGTTAAGAAACACAAAGGGTAAGTGAGGAGCAATCTGGAGGATATTGGGGAGTAGGAAAAGCTTGTTTTTAAAAGAAGGGGAACAAGGGAGGGGGCAGAGAAGAGAGGGAAGGGAAAAAGAATTTTTTAAAAAGAGAATGGAAAGGAAAAAATGGACAAAAAGTTTTTGTAAATGAGGAGAGGGAAAAGGAGAGGGGAACGGGGAAAAAAGAATATATACTATGCACAGGTACAAATTCCCCATGATGAATGTGATTATTATGTATGGCCAATATGTCCTAACAAGACATTTTTGAAAAGAATCTTAGACTCTGCAGGAACCAAGTTCTGGTACTATTTTCTATGAGTGAGCTTCCAGGTATTCCTCTCTGTCCCTAGGCTTTGTTACATCCACTCTGTGGACACCCAGCCCCTGCAAGCCCCTGCTACTTAGACCAAGGCAGAAAATGGCATTTCTCCCATTTGAATTTTTAAAATTCTTGCATTTCAGGAGTAGCCGGAATGACACTGCAGTTTATTCCTTCACCTTCGCATTAGCCTCCATACCCTCCATAGCCTCAAGTCCGAGGCCCATATTCTCTATTGTCTATTTTAGTTTACCTTTGTAGTCACTTTTCAAGGTTGTTCTGTTCTCGGGTAGAATGTGGCTTCTTCAATTGTTGTTCTAAGCTGAACTCAAAAGTTTAGTCTCACCAGTGGCCATTATTGGTTAAACTTATATCAGGACCCTCTCCACCCCACACTAGATGTCTGCCATAGCTACCAAACTGCTGTCTCTCCCTGTTGCAAAGACTTAGACCCTGATGAACCCCCTAAGTTATTCAAGCTAACAAATCATCCCTGGATATTCATTTATTTGTTTTACAGAGTTTACTAACATCCTTAAAGATCAATGAATGAATGAGCCTTCCTCTACACATTAATGGATCACCTATTTATTTATGCCCCCCAATGCCTTTCAAAGGCTACACCAAAGTAACAAAGAGGCCCTGAATTATAGTGCCTTCAAAACAAAGTTTATTTCTCTCACACACATTAGAATTCAGAAGAATAGCAAGCTGTTTTGCTGGACACAGTCCTTCAGGGACTTTTTCATTTTTTTTCTTAACTACCTTCTAGAGAATTCTCAGCATTTGATAAACATTCGAGCATTTGTTGCTTAACAGATTTCTGGATCACATTCCACAGGAGACAGGTATGGTGAGCCTTGTCGGAATTCAAGATCTAATGGGAAGAAAAAGAAAATAAATGAGTAAGTATAGTTCCGAGCATAGGAGAGAGATTGGTAATTATTAAATGACAGAGAAATCACTGTCAATGCAGAGGCAACAGAAAAGTCTTCCTGAGGAAGAACTGCCATATGAGATAAGATTTGATGGATAAAAGAAATTTCAGCGGGTAAATTTTCAGTGGAGAAAACAGTACGAACTAAAGCCTGAAGAACAGAAATATAGGAAATACAGAAAGCAGGGGCTGGGGATTTAGCTCAGCAGCACAGTGCCTGCCTGGCAAACACAAGGCCATTCTTTCAGGTGGAATATTAGCAAACATGGTTGTTGGGGGTTCAAAGCCTCACTGAGAAAGATCTTATTGCTCGGCCACAAGGAGGGAACAACAGAGCTCCAAGGTTGACTGAGACAGACTGAAATGAAGGTACTCATAACGGGAAACCAAGAGAAAACCTCAAGTCAGAGAGGAGAAAGTACTGCAGAAATTAAGTGATGGATGTAAGGAAGGCACCTGAAGGTAAATCCACACTGTAGGCAAGGCTGATGAGACTTGACCACTGTGGAATGCTGGAAACGAAAAAATAGAAAGTTAACTAGGAGCTACCCACACTCCTTTGCTTGTGGCCCCTTTGTCCATCTTCCAAACCGGGAACATTGTATCTCTCTGTGTCTTTCTTCTATGGTTATGTCTTCCCCTGACTCATCTTTTGACTCCTTCCACTTCGAAGGACCTCTGTAATTACGTTGTGTCCATTAGATAATCCAGAAAAAAACTCCCTATCTTAAGTTTAGCTGATTATCAAACTTAATTCTTCTCTGCTGTGTTACCTAAAATATTCAGAGGTTCTAAGCGTTACTCCTTGGACATCTCTGCAGGAAGCAGGAAAGATAATTCTTCTTACCACATACACCATAGCCATGGGATTGTGGGCAAGAGCACTCTTATCATCACCAGTATGATGGTAACTTGCTCCAAGGACTATGGAGGGTAATTTAGCAGCATCTATTAATATTTAAATGCACACAACTTTTGATCCCACAGTTCCATTATAGGAATCTATTCTACAGATATACTTTCATATAGATAAAATGATAGATGTCCAAGATTACTCATAGGAGGAATGTTAGTAACAGCAGAAGATTGGAGACAATTTAAATGTTCACTAGTAGGAAAGTGATCACTTAATGAATTAATGATGGTGCATTCATGCAATAGAAATTTAAAAGAGTAATCTCTAAGTTAATTAAGTTGCAATGAATAAAAGTAGGCTAAAAGAAGAGTGTGTATAGTATGATAACATTTTTGCTGAAGCTGAGAGGCAGATAAGCATTTATAATTGTATTTGCTACTAGTGTATAAAGAAACTCTAAAAAATACACAAGAAACTAATAATAAAGATAACCTATTCAGGAGTAGAAGGGATGAATAGACAGAAAACTTTTACCTATACATCACACATATACACACCCACACTACAAGACTCAAATGCCTCCCTCTCTAAGAAAACTTGCTGCCTTCTGAATCCCCCTTCTCTGGCCATTCATTGTTCTTCAGACATTTGTGCCAACGTTAGAGGGTCTGTGCTACTCTCTGCATTATCTTAAGTTTTGCATAACTCATATTTTCCATGATAGCAGTGATCTGAAGAAGAAAAAAAAAGGAGAAAAGATGGGGAGAATGTTGCCATTTCCTGAGTCTCTAAGAGGAGGGGACTTTTATGTGCATCAAAAAGAAACACATATTTCTGTCTTACCCACTAAACCACCAGCCCGGTAGTTTCCTCATACACAAGTAGGTGGTCCATTTGTATGACTGAATGAAAATTAATTTTATTTCTTACCAGAGGAAAGGTAGGGAAAGTGAACACGGAGACACATAAATCGTATATAAAAATTCTTTGTTATTTTAGGGACCTTAAGGTACATATGTTTTTCCATTTCAGTGTCTCCAAAGTGGACTTGTGTCACAATCACTGCCATCTACGTAGCAGACATGAGATGGCGGTGGCTGCTACATCACTGCAAGTTAGTCCCAGCTGCTGCTGCTGGCAGCTCGGTGGAGGTATATGTAAGGTAATGCATAGCTTTATCCTTCAGCTGAGCCCCATTTCAGGGTAAAAGGGAACACAAATCAAATGCGATCTCATGACAAGAATAAGCGAAGACCATCCCAACCAAACCTGCACAGAGGATCAGTGCCTTGTTAGTAGCATGGATGTTCGATAAATGTCATTTGAAATTTTTTTTTAAAGAGTACACTATTATGTGCACTGACAATAATTACTGTGTCTACAAAAAGCACAGAATCAGCCGTGGACAGACACGCATAGCCAAAAACAAATACTCACTTTGGAGGATGACACAATTCTGTTTCCTTACAAAGCAAACAACCCAAATGGTCCTCGAAAACTAAGAAAAGTAAATACCTGCAAGTAGAGTATATCAAGGTGTATTTCATAATTTTGATGAAAAAAATATACAAAATAATAGCCTTTAAATTCAACTGAAGGCAGGAAAAATGTCAAATCCTTAAAAGTTGATTAAAAAAAAAAAAACTCCATTGTAAGAAAAGATTCCATGACCAAGTCATGTATTAGGATTCCTGTTAGGCATTACATCACAGTCTAACACAGCTTTTTCCTTTTCCCACACCGATCCACAAAGTCATGATGTGTGATAATCGATTGGTTACTTCGCTTCAGGGAGATGCAGTATTCTCTCTCTATCATGAGCAGGGACCTCCTCATCCACACATACCTGACTGTTCCTGAAGGTGATTTATCAGCTCTCTCTGTTTTTCCGGAGGTGTGCTAGAGGCAACCGTCAGGCTGAGCTCTGACCAAAATGCAAGCATCCTTCAGTGTAATTAACTTCCTATTTTATTAGATATGTCTGCCAAACTTCAACAGAACTACTGCACCCAACTGTAAAAACTGTCTTCAGTAAGCCATAACATCTGATTCTAACATTTGCAGCTGAGTGCTGTTTCGTATGACACCATCATGGTCATTGCCCTCCAAGTCGCATTGTAATGACACTACCAAACTATAACACTACCAGTCGCTCCACAGTTATTCAGTGGTGACTAGTCTAGATCTAAGTAGTGTGCTGTTTATGATGTCACAATGCCTCAAATGCAGTAAGCACAACAAGCTTGACCAAGACCTCCTACTCCACCTCCTGCTGCTGCCTGGAACCTAATAAATGTGAAGTAAAATCCCTACTTAAATAAATTTTACTCAAGCCACTTCTAGTCTTGCATAGTCCAGATCTCCACTTCAACTGTCACAATCAGGATACCTAGGATATACGGGAACACTGGTTCTAAAGCCTGCCTTGCTTTTTTCTGGTTCCCAAGGAATACCTCCTGATCACCATGGGGGTTTATTTTCATCCATCATGGTTGCTTCCTCTCACCACACCATAGTTAAGGGACTCAGAGGCAGCCACTTCAGCAAAGGAAACAGTATAGACTCCAGGATGGGAACAAGCAGACGTTCATTTCCTGTACCACCATTCCAGCTCTCTCAGCTTTTTTTTTTAACCAATGCCCAGAACCTTTTTACTCATGTGTTCTGGAAATGGACTTGGAGAATTGACTGACTCCTTTAAATGTGATGCTCAGAATCCATGACACTCTTCAGGCCCTGTGTACGGCTCAGCACATTCATCATCCTCTCCTCTGCCTCAGAGAGGTACTTCTGCCCTCCTAAGCTTCTGCTTCACTAGCCCCATGCTATGGATTTACCCTCTCATGGCTATGGATCCACGTCCATGAAGTAACTCCTGCCACCAAATTAGTGCCCCAAGTGTCTGTAGCTCCAGTGCTACTAAACAAAATGCTGGGATCAGTTTAATCATTTGACCAGTGCTCATGGTGACTTTCCCAGCCCAGCAGACCCGGAACTGAGCTTTCTCTCATGCAAACCGAGGAACATCCCTGCAGGAGGGGTGAAGTCTTTTATCCACATTTTATTATTGTATTCACCAACTGGGCTTGCATGCACTACACGCCCGAATGCCATGGCATCTTCAAAGCAGCAGTTTTTAGATTCAGAGGAAAGCTTGTGGCCGTGAAACTGGCCATGTGTGGAAAGATCTGGATGACTAATTAGCCTGCTCACTCCACTGCAAATCTCAGACAAGTACCCCTTAAGTGAAAATTCAGCAGGCAATTCCTGTCCCTTTGCTGTGCCTTAGGTCAGCATTAAAGTCTCTTAACTGTATTCTCAAGCCTCAACCCCTATGTACTATGCAAATGCAGCATTATAATGGCCCAAACCACTGAGCAGCCCTAACTGCTTCCTGCACCCTCCCTTATAGAGCCTGGGAAACAGGAAGGTCCTAGAATAAAGGTGTGGTTAGGGAGTAGGGAGGACCAAAGGCACCTTGATTCCCACCTTGGTATACCTGCCCTGGTGTCCCTCACACCTGTGCTTCACCCCCACCATGTGTGCCTCACAAGTAAGCCCCTGACAAGTCACCAGGGCTGCTGATCCCACAGAGCAGGAGCCTAGCCCTGGAATGAATAAGGAAGCAGGTGCAGAAGTGTTGGGGCTGGGAGTATCTGAGGGCTGTCCCAATACAAGATAAAAGGGATATATGCCAATTTTCCCTGTGCTCTGTGGATTTGCTCTTATTCTGTCCTTTCCCCCTCCTTACTAGGTGGCTCCAGACCACCATCATCACACCCTGCTGTGACCGAGAAACCTGCCTGAGAGCACATGTGTCAAGTTCCTGAGCCAACAACTGAAGCAAATACAGCCAAACCGGTCACCAACCCTCATCCTTCCTGAAACAATAACCACTCACTCTGTGAAAAATTTATTCCTTTAGTGTAAAGAAACCTTGTCTTTGATTTATTTTTTAGATATATTTAATTCTATACAAGCAATTCGGGAGTTTCTAGTGAATGCACCATGCATACTAGTGAGTATTTTAAAAAACAAGCAACTATTTACTGCAAACCAATAGTCTCAACTTCAATGTATGTCAGCTCTTCTGGTGACATCTACTATCTGAAATGCTCCTACAGAATGTTGGACATTTCTACTTCACATTTCTGCTGGAAAATCATGAAGTCTCTGAGGTTCAAGCTGTGGACCAACCTACAGGGAGACGGTTATACACTCTTGAATCACATATTTGGTTTGTAGCAAAAGAAATGTTATACTCATGGTGACATTTTTTTGCCATGGAAATTAATGGATTATTGGTTTTTATGGCTTATCTTTTATATTTTAGATTTTGCTTCTTGCACCCAGAAACTGTAGTGTTTTGTGGATCTTGTGCATGACTTAGCATCACTGGTACCCACAGGGGACTGTGGGTAGAGCACCAGAAACACGGGTAAGTGCTGCAGGGCTATGGAGAAGGCACAGGAGAGACTCCAGTTGTGAATGAAGGGTTTGTGTGCAAACTACTGACAAAAATTTAAAGCAAATATGCACAATTCATATATGGCATTAAATAAATAAATACATTTTTAAATTAGAAAGCAGCAAATCAGTGCCACTACAGAGATTCAAATGAGGGACATCAGGAAACGGGCCATGCGTCCATCTTGATGAATATACACAAAAAAGTAGCACTTGGGCTGAATCTTGAAAGACTGATAGAATTTTAACCAATACAAAGTGGGGGGAAAGTGCTTCACTTTGACAGAATACTGAAAGCCTGCGCCTACTTGAACAACACTGAGTAGTCAGTTGTGAATATCTGTAACAGGAAGCTTCAACCTTTAGTATTTAAGAATCATACCAGGGAGGGACTTGTTTAAAATTGATATTTTCCTACTAATCTGTCCATAACTCTGTAATGTCTGTATTGTTCCTATGCAATTTTGTAAGTGGATGTATGTTTATTATTACGTTTCCTACAACGACCATTGAGAATAGTCAATGATTATTCAATTGGCCACTCATGTGTAGCTCTATTTATTTCCTTTAGAAGCCACTTTGAAGATACCAAAGTATAGCACAACAACTATTGATAATCGCCTACCTCTTTTGTCTGTAACTCACTATTATTTGTCTATTTGTTTTCCTGAGAGACTATCTTGTAGATAACAATATGTATAACAACAACCATTGATAATTTCCTACCACTTTGTCTGTAATTTGGTAAGCCCCCCCCATTACTATGTTATCCTTCTTTTACTCTTTAAAATAAAATAAAATAGAGATTATCCAGCACAATTGCCACATAGTCTAATTCAGCCAGTCTGGGACAGGCTAAGCTTCGTAAGCATCACAAGTGATTCTGAGGGAGGTGATATAAGTTCCACAATGAGAATTGCCAGCACTGGAGACAGACAGGCTGCTTGGGAGGAAACAATGACAGACAAGGTAGAGAGGTACGATGGAAGCAAGTTACGAGGAGCCCTGATGCCGTGCTAAGGAGGCGGGTCTTTATTCTTTGGGCAATGGGGTGTTACATTTCTGTTTTAAGGTGATTCTATACTGCTTGAAAGGTTGAACTGCTCCAGCCTTTAAAACAAAAAGTATAGTGTTAAAAGGAACCCATAAGCCTGGGGAGTTTAGCATAGAAATAGTAATCAATTCACCTAATGATCATATATGTTATTTGGATGGGGAGCTACTGACTGAAAGAATAAGCAGGAACGAGATGGGATGATTGCTAGGACCCTCTGCTAGATAAAGGGTGCAGTCACTCTGGAGGGAGGGTCACTGTGGTCATGCTCTTCCCCTAAGGAAACAGAAGCTAAGAAATTGAAACAAATCTTGTCTTTCTGGGTTTCTCCTAGAAATGTCGAAACCCCCAAAGGTGTGTTCTATTACTAAAAGAAGCACAGATACAAAGTTCTTAGATGTATGTATTGAAACACCCTGGACTGGTGCATTAGGACATCCTTAAGCTGCAGGTGTCCTTCAAGAGAACTTCTCAAACTTCCTGGCCTTAAGACCCCTTACTCTCCTAGAATTTACTGAGGACCACAACAACTTTCTTTATGTAGCTTATATCCACATTTATGTACTCTTAAAACTAAAACCCTTTAACCTATTTGTTTATAATAATAATCTGTTAACAAAGATAACCTTTTAATTTTAAAAAATCTGTCCTCCAAACAAAAATCAATGAGAAAAGTGAAACTGCTTTGCATTTTTGCAAATTTTGAAATGTCTGGCTTCATAGAAAACAGCTAAATTCTCATGCCTGGTTCTCCACTCAATCTGTTGTGACCGTGCATGTCCTGCGGCCTCCAGAAGACCCCCTTGTGTGTGTGTACACTGGAATGAGACAGTAAAGGAAAAGGTCATGTATTAGTTCTATTATGAAAATAGTTTGGGCTTTGAAGAAGCCCTGAAACCGCTTCTAGGACTCTGGAGTCTCTAGAACATACTCTGTAGATTCCATTTGTCTGAAGTGGACACCTAAGGCACTGTCAAGTCTGAAAATCATTAGGTGATGTCCATGTGAACCAGGAAGTATCAAGTGCTGTCCAAATCCAGAATGATGAGGAAGGCGCCCAGGAAGATGCCTGGTTCTAATCTGTTTAGGACCAGGTGATAGAACCAAAATTAGGTTAAGCAAGAATTGTAGGTAAAGATGAAAGAAGATAATGTCAGCAAGTGCCTAAACTTTCTTGAAATTTTGTTGTAAAGGAATTCATGATCCTGACTAATGCAACAAAGACTCTTGTTTACAAAGTGAGAAATTTTCTTTTACAAGGTAGCTGTCTATGCTCTATTTCAAAAGATTCTGAATTCCACTAGGGAAGGGGCTGGGTACCAATTTCACAGATGACCCTAATGTACTAGAAGTTTAGAAACCTCTGCTCTAGCTCAGATAGTTCCAATTATATTTAAGTTATGTTAATTTTTATTTATATTTCTAAATAAAAGTATCTCCCTAGGATTTTATCTACACCTGAGAGAAACCTAGTTTTTATATGTGTGACAAGCATAGTCTCTATTGAGAAATAAAAGCTTTCCATACATACATAGACACTACCTTTTAAAATCTAACCCTAAATTAAAGGGATGGAAAAATGCCACTGCTATTCAGGAAACAAATAATGGATGCTTTGTTTCCATAATAAACATTTAGGAGAGTTTGTTCCTAATGGAAACTC